TTGCTTGATATAATGAATGACCATGTTTTCTCTTGCAGTTTTCTAATACATCCGTTTTTTTCCATGTCTGATACTGAGCAGGTGATATTTGTCTTCTAGCTGTTGCAGGTTCATTAGTTGGCTCGTTGCTATGCTTTCTTGATGTAATGATTCTCTATATACTAATTTCTTTTACTGAATTTATCTATAATTCAGTTTTCTGTGTTTCTATTGTTATGTGATTGAATAAAAGTTATTCTAACTTATTTGCATGTTCCTAGGGTTGTGTTTATGTTGCTTATGCATATAAAATCTACTAGACAAGCTGCTTAAAAGGAACTCTTTCATGCAAAATGGTGATGCATTTGGTTGAAGCAATAGGTGAGTTACTAACTTTTACATTTTGTCCCCTTAAAGTTTGGAAAACAGAAACATTAACTATCTATTTCTACATTAAATCAATTTTTTTTTGCATCAAGTCAAAAAAGAAAAATACTCATCTATAGCTTAACAGATTAAGTCATGTCTCCACTCTCCATTAAGTATCTTAAGTTTACTATGTATCATTTTCAAGTAAAGGTATTTAATTCAAATTACTTATATTTTAAATCTGAATGCATATGTTTATCTTGCTGGGATAGTTATGATGATATGTGCAATGGGTTTGTATGGATTATTCACGATAGAGATGAAACAAATGAGAGGTTGCATGTGTTGCTTTTATCAACTTAAACTGCCATGGTGCAAATACATGGATTTTTTGAATTTTACCCAATTTTTACCAAAATGCCATCGATTAAAAAAATGCTTTGGTCTCTTTTTTATAGCAAATACAGTTGCAATTGTACGCGCATGTAGAATCTACAGATCTTTGTGCACAAACAATTTTGAAACAAATTCTACTTTTATGACTAATGTTCAATTTCATTATTAATATCATTTGATGTTTACTAAAGTGATTTAGATGTAAAGTTGAAAATGGAAGGAAAACTAACAATTTTACAATGTTGATTGGTAATTATATTAAAAGCTTTTCCTGGTTGTATATTATGGCATTGTCTTCATCTTTTTCTCTATAGAAGTATTTAGTTGTAATGTCACACTATAAAGATTTTTTGCTTTCCTCACAAGTGTTTAGCCATTATATTATTAAGTTCTAAAACATGAAGGTTCAGATTAGAGATTATTACTTTCCTCACAAGTTTTTAACCGGTTAAAGATCATAGCATGACCTGAGAGAAAAGAGAGATTAATATATAAATATATAATAACCACAATGACTATCATTTCTCCTTTTATGAATGAATGTGACGTTAAGAAAAAAAATATGCGGTTCACTCACTCCATTAATGGTAGTCTACATACTTTTTGTTTTCTTTTTTATTTATTATTATTATTATTATTTATTTATTTATTTATTTATTTTAAGAATCAAACCCATGAGCAGATCATGTAATGTCAAAATCACATGATATGGTTAAGCGGCTAAGGGGAGTGGTGCCGAGTGCATTGAGCTCCATCTCACCCAAACACAATTTTCTTCTTTGTAATGCCAAACAGACACAGTGGGGAAGAAGAAATGAGAAAATAAAGGAGTAGCTCAGTAGAAATCACCGAGTTTGGCAACCGAACTTGGCATGCCGAGTTCGTGGCCCGGTGTTCACCGAGCCCATGATGATGCATCATTTTGGGACGATAATGATTCATTCGTTTGTGATGAGGATGATGCATCCTTTTGTGATGATGGTGATGATGCATCCCTTTGAGATGATGATGATGATGATGATATAGATGCAGTACTTATTTGGTATTCTGAAGACATTAGAGACTCTTCAAGTTCCAGTTCTTCGAAGTCGTATTCATCATCATCCACAATGTGGTAACTATCAGAGCTTGAACTGCTAACCATGTTCTTAAGACCGATGTGCTACATCAAACATATAATTAATATTGCACGCGAAATAACACCAAATGACGTTATGGAACATGAAGGGTTTGCTGTTTGGGGCTTGTTATACTAAAAGGTTTCCTTATAAAATTCCAAGATTTCACATAACGCAATCAAAGCTTTGAAGATATTTCAAACTTTGAAATCATTTAACAGTTTAATTAAGGATGGGGATGGTTTTGCTCTAGATTGAAAAAGAAAACGGTTGCATGTGGGACTGGGATTGAATAACCGTTTCTGTACACCGCTTCGTAAAAAAAATAAAACCGAAAACCGACAGTCATCTTAATTCAAATCCAGATTTCAATATTTTCTACATATGGCAAAACAGGTCCCTCTACTACGGTTTTGCCACTTTTCATCCATCAAACTATTTTTTTTTAATGATTACTAAGGTTTCTAGTATGTGCTCTAAGGGCACACATATAAGAAGCATTAATCAATTAAGGAAGTGTAAGGTGAAAAAATTATGGGTTATTATTATCTCAATAACTTATTAGCTTATAAATTAATTTAGAGAAAGTTAACTTACAACAGTTTGTTGTTATTTTTATCCAAATATTCTTTTAATTTAAACAAAACTTCAAAAATGGTCCTTGTGCTTTCTGAAAATATCAAGTTTAGTTTCTAACTTCAAAAAATCTCACGGATCGTCCATGTGGTTTCGAAACTTTTAACAAATGGTCTTTTTCGCTAACTCCGTTAGTTTTTAGCCGTTAAGTGAAAGATATTTCTGTCTTTTCACTACCACAGGGACCATTTATGAAATTTTGCCTTATTTTAAAAAAAATTATTATTTAATATTAAAGGTCTCTCTGTGTGTGTGTTAAGTTGAAAAACTTTCATTTTTATATATCAGGATTTATGATTTCAGGTTGCTTGATATTTATCTAAACCCAAAAGATGGCAAGAAACCCATGTTCAAAGCTACTGTTCGGCTTATCCATAACCATAGAGAATCTCTTGATCCTCTGCAAGTTCTTGATGTATTAAAAAGTAACTATAAATCTTTTGCTAAAAAGTTGTAGGTTTTGATTTGCAGAGACTATCCCCAAAAATGCACTTACAGATTGCTTCAGATACAAAATTAAGAATGCTAAGAGCTCGTCTTCATCATCATTATCAAGGACAAGTAGGTTCTTTGCAAAATACTCATCTTGTTCTTAGTCTCAGATTTAAAAAGAAACCTAAATCCAGAAGTCAAAGGGTATATCTGAAACGAAAACCTGGTCAAAAAATCATAATTTAAAGAACACCGCCTGAAACGACGATGAACACCAGTGGGTATCTCGATTTCAAGAGGGTACTCTGAATCGCTGCCTTCCTTGAAATCTGATTTTGTGCTTATTATATGTAATCAAATTTATCAGACATAAAATAAAACAAATTTTCTGATAATAATCAATCGTGGAAACCAAGTTGTCCACTCCAAACCAATTCCAACAAAAAAAAAGTTACACTAAGATCGGTAGCCTTCAGTTCCGAAAAAATCAGTCAAAAAAACTTAGAAACCCACAACATCCCCATAGATCAAACTAACAAAACCCCATATCTGAAACACTTTTGAACAGAAAAAGAATAAATTGAATGAAATCTGTATGAAACCATCTCAGGGACAATGAAACAGGGGCTCCTGTGGCCTGGGTAATTAGAAAAAGCAAAAAAAAAGACAGAAGAAAAGTAGAGGACGACGAAGAAGAAAGGAAAGAAGGGTTGAGGTGGATGTGATATATATATATATATATATATATATATATATATATATATATATATATATATATATATATATATATATATATATATATATATATATGGGAGAAAATTGAAACGGAAAATCAGGAAATTGATTTAAAAATTGAATGAAGAATTAGGGTTTGGAGAGAGAGAGAGAGAGAGAGAGAGAGAGAGAGAGAGAGAGAGAGAGAGAGAGAGAGAGAAAAAGAGAGACCCTTTAATATTAAATTATTATTATTATTATTATTATTTTAAAATAAACCAAAACTTCATAAATGGTCCCTATGGTAGTGAAATGACCGAAATGTCCTTCACTTAACGGTCAAAAGCTAACGGAGTTAACAAAAATGATCATGTGTTAAAAGTTTTGAAACCACAGGGACGATCCGTGAGGTTTGTTGAACTTAGTGATTAAACTTAATATTTTTGGAAACTACAGGGACCATTTTTGGAAACTACAGGGACCATTTTTGAAGTTTTGTCTTTCATTTATATGGATGTGAAATAAAAAAAAGTTTAGTTACGAAGGCATAAAAAACTGCGGGCAATATTGAATGGATGACAGATAAGCCATATTCGGTTCACTTAAGTTCTTTGCTCTTCCTAACCTTATTCTATTTAAAAATTTTGATTTTGAATATTAGAATAGTGTATCTAAACTAAGCTACCACAACAATTGCTCCGTCCAAAGAATGATCCTCTCCGATCTATACAGCAATTTTATAGCCACCATGCATCACGCATACATACATACACTTAAAATGATTGCTATATGAAGATTTAAATAAGCATAAAAAGAGCAAGCATAAACAAACAGATAAAGATTTTCTTCAATCTCATTGTTCACTTGATCAAACACAAATAGAAATTTTAAATTAAAATACAAGAACGTGCAAAACGAACGTATCGTATTAAGTACGGTTTAAAAATGAAAGAAATAAAAAACGTTTTCCCCTTGATTCTAAGCTGACAAATCAGGTAAAACACAGGCATGGCTTCCATTGTGCTCCTTTCCACATCCATAGCAAAAAATGATACCCACATCTGTGCATATTAAGACCAGTTAGTTCGTTAATTCCTATGCAAAACCACAACAATAAAAGCCATGAAAGTTACCTGCAAGAAATATGTTGACAACCCTCGTTTTTTTCGACATAAAAGTTACAACTTGGGCACATTCTCCATTTTTTGTTCTTGGCAAGCTCCATTAACATTAAATCTTCTGGATTTCTTTCATATTCCTTTAAGCTCTTATACTCTCTGCAATCCATCCCGGAATGCCATGCCACCTTACACTGCGCACAGAACAATCTGTTGCAGTTTGGGCATTCCGATGATGTCACAGCTTCTCCGCCATCATCCACCAACATGGCCGAACAATCTTGAATGGGCAGTAAAATTTGTGAGATCCCAGAATCAATGACTCGCACAAAGCGTCTTCCCATCTTTCAAGCACTTCTTTTGGGACAATGGATCGACAAATTTCGGGTCCTATTAGCCCTTTGCATTTGGGTTTTGGACACTTAACCAAAACAATGTTCTCTTTGATTTTCGCAGATACGTGTCCACGTATGCAATCTGAACAGAACAGATGAACACAAACTGTTGCGTTTGTAAAAATTTCAGATGAACTCTTGGAGTCCATGCAAATACCGCAGAAGCTCTCTGACGATTGAGCTGCTTCGGATGGTAGAAGTGTCTGCTTCCTCTTCAATGCAGGTAGAGGTGTAGAAGTGGAAGGGAATGATGATGATGATGGAGTTGTTAGAGATGTTGAAGATACAAGAGCCTCTTGAAGTTGAAGTTCCTCGGCGTATTTCTCATCGGAAATGGGAAAGATTTCATCGTTGTCATGGAGAGCTGAGAAGTAGAAATCATCTACAGTGTGGTAAATATCTGAATTTGAACTGCTAGCCATATTCTTAAGACTAATGAGCCTCTGTATGTGCTGTATAACTTATATTAACATCATATTAAATGCAAATTACATGCGTAATAATACCAATTGAGGTTATGGAACATGAAGCGTTTGCTGTTTCGGGATATTGTTATACTCGAAGGTTTCCTTATACAAATTCCAAGATTTCACATTATGCCATCAATTCTATGAATTTTGATATTTCAAATTTTAAACCGTTTAATATTTTGATTTCGCTATACAACATGGATTTGTTTTTACTTATTTTTGAATATGGGTCTAATCAACATTTTTTGCTGATTCGGTCCGGTCAGTTTGTTTGACAGTTTGTTTGACAGATACCTATTTTGTTTGACTCGATCGTCAAATACTGAGTCACACTACCGATTCGGTCCTTGAAAAATATAGTCTGACCGAGACCGAGGATTTCTTTTCCCTCATTTACCCTTCTACCTATTGCCAACGTTTTCTTCCTTCAAAATCCCATCTCGATCATTCAACATCTCCTCCCACCTGGATCCTCCGTTTTCTTTGTTGTTGTCGTCCGAACTCGCGTCGCCGTCTACCGCTTTCCAACGATGCCCAACTCCGATGGAACCCCTTCCTCAGCCAGACGTCGTGTACACTTCTCTTCTCCATCTCCTTCCATTACAGCGATTTCCTCCGCCGCTCTGTTTTTGAACGCTACCACACCAACAATTATCTCCGGGCACCAAACATAAGCGACGCCACCAAACGCCTTCTTTCTCCAGCCGCTAAGCTCCTATTCTGCATATGTTAATCAATTTTCTTTCTTCTCTAAAATCATCTAATCTTTTATTAACATTGAATCTTGCAGCCGGATGATTTTTGTTTATTAGTTTTGTGTTTTTGCTCAAATCAATGTGGTTTCATTGGGTGTTACACACTGTTGTAATAAAATATTAAAGAATATATATATATATATATATATATATATATATATATATATATATATATAGAGAGAGAGAGAGAGAGAGAAAGAGAGAGAGAGAGAGAGAGCCAAGAGGGATGGACTTCGGTACGTCCGAGAAAAAACTACGAGAGAGATTTCGAAATAAATGGGAAAGCTGTAATTTTCTACGTGCAAATCCCCCCCCCCCTGACTGGAACGAAGCACCACTATGGCGGATGTTTAACAGATTTGGGACAGTTTTTGATGTCTACATTGCCAAGAAGTTGAACCGCCTCAACAAGAATTTCGGATTTGTTAGATTTATTCGGATCCAAGAAACCATCTCCTTTGAGAAACGTCTCAATGAGATTTACATCGGAGCACAGAAGATTGAAGTCAATGTGGCACGATTTGAAAGGAATGAAAATGTGAATCGTAGAAGAAACCCTCAAGTCACCGGAAGTCAGCGTGCAGACCCAGTAATGAACCCATGCTTACTTGGCAGGTCATTTGTTGATGCTGTTAGGGGGACAATGTCAATCGCCAACAATGGATCTGGAAGGACAAGTAAAGTGGATGAAGGGATGACCCCTACAAGGAAAACAATAAAGATGTTATCCTATCTTGAGTCAAAAGAAGCCATGCAGAACACTTTGGTGGGGGAAGTAGAAAATTTCCAAGCTCTAATGAACGTGAAAGCTTTTCAGGAAGTTAAGGGATACCCATCGATCCAACTATGATATTTGGGAGGCCTAAAAATGCTTCTCTGATTCGAAATATAATGGAAAAATAAGTGTTTCTAAATAATGGGAAGGAGATTTGGCAGCCATGGTTCAAAGAGGTCACTGCATGGGAAGTGGAATGCAACTTCAATGAAAGAATCGCATCTCTAATTATCCAAGGTGTGCCCCAGCATGCATGGTGTGAGGATACTTTCAGTATTATTGCAAGAACTTGGGGGTCTGTGGCCATACCGGAAGATTGCAACATAGACTCTCCAAATTTGGCCTTCAGGAGGGTCGAAATTCTCACATCCCAACTTGGAATCATCAGTTCTTCCATCACAATCTTGGTGGATGGAAAACCATATCAAATTAATGTCATGGAGGATATCTTTGAATCCCTTAAACTTAGTCTGATGCTTGCTGCTAATGATTTATATCAAAGGATGTCATGTTGGGATGAAGATAGTATTGGTGAAAATGGTAGCCTAAATAGTGAAGTATCGGTCCAATCTGATGATGTATTACAGTCATCGGAAATATCTCTGGCGAAGGCATATCAATCGTGGCAACAAGATGGGGAAGTGGAAAAGTCGCACGTCAACATCTCCAGCTCGGAGGCCAAGGAGTCTCCTTGACTTTCTACATTTATGGAATTTAGGAAAGAAGTTGTATCGCCATTGCCGTCGGAAGTAGGTCATGTTGCATCCGGATCCTTTTCCTCCTTGGGCCATAATAGAAGGTGGGACCATTCTTCGTCCATAATTAAAATACACCAGCAAAATTTCTCTTTGGACCTAAACAGAGCCCCATCTCACTCTATCCCATCCAGTTCCTAGACCAGCACACTGATCGTCATGGCATGCCTTCCTCTCCGATTCAGCTGCGCTCATGCACTTCACTGTCCCCCACACGAATATCCCCTCCATCTCTCCCCTCTTGCATCCCCCAAAACTTGCAGGGGGTGTGTCTAGGTCTCAATAGTTGTCTCAGCTAGCAGTCTCTCAGACCCAACCTATTGAGTTGAACGCTACATCTATGGAGGTTGCAAAGACAATCGTTGTTGGAGAATCAGTTGGCTTCCAGGTAGGGAATCGATCTGATCAAATCAAGCAGATGATTAAATCTCGTGGTGTGGTTGTTATTGATCAATGAATATCTTCTCTAATAACATTTGAGGAATTGGGTGTGCAGTAAAAAGGAGTTGGCTTAGAGATTTTCGTTTTCAAAATCATTCTTTCTTTGTTGGGTTACAGGAAACGAATTCCATGGAGGTCAAAAATAAACTAGACTGGAAAATTTGGGGTTCTAACAATTTCCAGTGTGAGGTTATCGATCCGGTGGGGATTTCTGGTGGAATTGCTTCCTTATGGGACCCCTCCCTTTTCCAAGTCTCGGAATCAATAAAAGGTGAAGGCTTTATTGCCATCAAATGTTTGTGGCTCAGATTGATGAAAGCATGTTGCTTTATAAATGTTTACGCCCCACAAGAGTCTTTGAGGAAAAGGTCTTTATGGAATAACCAGGTTGATCTCATAAATTTAGACATAGATTATTACTGGTTTGTCTTTGGAGATTTCAATGTCGTCCGCTTACCTGAAGAAAGACTTGGCTCCATTTTCTATCAAAACAGTGCTTATTATTTCAATGAGTGCATTCACTCTCTCGGTTTATTAGAAATTAAGATGGGGGTCATAAATTTACATACATGAACTCAACTGGTGATAAACACAGTAAGCTTGATAAATTTCTTGTCTCTCTCAATACCATCGAAACCTGGCCAAACTTAAATGTCATAGCCATGCCTCGGGTGCATTCCGATCATTGTGCTATAATCTTATCTGCCTCACTGCTTGATTTTGGTCCATCCCCATTAAGGTTTTTTAATTCCTGGCTTAAGGATCTAGGATTTGAGGGTATTTTAAGAAGTGGCTGGTTAGTTAGTAGCAATTCAAGACATCAGTTGTTTCTATCCCCCCTTTCCCTGGTTGCTAGTAAACTAAGGAATTTAAAGGAGCATATTAAATCATGAAGGAAGGAAATTATAGGAAATGCTAGAAAAGAGATGGAGGGGCTTACAAACAAAATAAATGACATTGATCTCTTGGTTGATAAGGGTCAGGTTAATAATGAATTAGTTAAATGTCTGCAAAATGCTAACCAAAAAATCATGGAAATTGAATCCAGGTGTATTGAAGACTTTAAAGAAAAATCTAGAACCAAATGGGGTCTAGAATGTGATGAGAACAACGCTTTCTTTCACGTCCTGATTAACAAGCATCAAAGATCTCAGAGGATAAACGGTATTAAGGAGAACAGTTTTTAGATAAGCGACCCTGTTGAAATCAAGGAGATGGTAACTAAGCATTTTGCCGGGAGATTCACTGAGCCTATTAAATCGCGCCCTAAATTCCTTAGCTCAAAATTTATGAAACAACCCCTTATGCGATTGAGTACTTAAAAGAGCCTTTCTCAATGGAAGAAATCAAATCAGCCATTTGGGCTTGTGGCTTGGGAAGGGCACCAGGTCCTGACGGATTTTCTTTTGCTTTCCTAAAACAACATTGGGGGGAGATTAGAGGTGATCTTTACCTTGCAGTGAAGCACCTTGAAGCTACAGGGCACATAGAAAAGGCTGTAACTCATCTTTTATCACCCTTTTTATAAAGGTTCATGACTCGATCACAATCAATGATTTCCATCCAATCAGCCTAATCGGATGTTTGTATAAAACAATCTCAAAGGTCCTAGCAGAACGACTAAAAAAGGTGGTACATTTGGTGGTTAGAACAACCCAGAAAACATTCATTAAAAATAGGCATATACTTGATAAGCCTCTTATCCTAAATGAAAAGGACTTTGATAACCTTAGTTGGGAGTTCCTACACTCAGTGATGGAACCAATGGAATTTGGGGCTAAATGGTGATCATGAATTCATTGATGCTTATCATCAGCAAGGGTCTCGATTATTATTAATGGGTCAGCAACAAAAGAATTTGGTATGGAGTGTGGGGTTTGACAGGGAGATCAATTATCCCCATTCTTGTTCATCATTGCAGCTGAAGGACTTCACACTACTATGGAATCGGTGAAAGAAAAGGGTATATTTAAAGGTATCCAACTCCCCCACCATGGACCATTAATCTCTCACCTATAATACGCCGATGATGTAATATTTGTGAAATCATGGTCAATGGAAAATACAAAAAAAAAATGATCAGAATTCTAAGGCGTTTCGAGCTGTCATCGGGACTCAAGATTAATATGTCAAAAAGTAAACTATATAGGTTTGGTGTTCAGAATTGTGAGTTGGAACTGGTGGTCTGCAGTTTCAATTTTTCGACTGGTTTTCTCCCTTTTACCTATTTGGGTCTTCCTATTAGTGCTTCCATGGCTAGAGTAATCCACTGTAAACCTATCATTGAAGAGTTTCAGGAAAACTATCTAGATGGAAAGCTTTCACCATGTCGTTTGGGGGTAGATTGACCTTATGCAAAGCAGTACTAAGCAACCTTGGCTCTTTTTACTTCTCCATATATAAGGCACCTGTAAAGGTGATTAAAAGTCTTGAAAGGATTCAAATGAGGTTTTTTTGGGGAGGCTGCCTGGAATCAAGGAAAATAGCCTGGATTGCTTGGGATAAGTTCCTTGTAGCTAAAGAAAGAGGTGGGCTCAGTGTTGGTAGTTTACAGGCACAAAACTTTGCTCTCTTGGGGAAATGGTGGTGGTGATTCAGAAAACAGCCTGACAGCATATGGGCTTTGGTGATTAAAGCCATTCATAGACCTGATGGTGGCATTTCTCGTCCTATGGCTCCAAAAATGAGAAGTGGTTATTAGGGATCAATTGTATGCCTGCCAATATTGTTAGAAAAAGAACATGTACCATTTTGAATTACTTCCAACACATATTAAATGTAGATGGCTCGTCAAAATGGACATGGTCACTTGATCCATCGGGGGAATATACTGTTTAATCATTTTGGAACCATATTGACAATCTGGTTCTTCCTAATAGTAATGATAGATGGATGTGGAACCCACTAGTGCCGGGTAAGCTAAACATTCTAGCTTGGCGAGTCTATCAAGGAAAACTTCCATATATGGATAATCTCTTTAAACTTTGCAATATCTCTTCAAATTTTTGTAGAATGTGTCATGAAGCCCCAAAAACGGAAGACCACATCTTTGTGGGATGCCCGATCTCAAAGGAAGTTTGGTTGCAGGTATGTGGCTGGTTGCAGCTACTGGAGCTCTCTCCCAACTATTGTTGATAATTGTTAGAATGTAAAAATGTGCTAGGTGGTTATCAAAGGTTGAAGGTGTTTCACGAAGTTATAATGCTTGTCTTCTTGTGGGTAATTTGGAGATTCAGAAATAGTCAGGCTTGTAACACCCAGTTCCTGGTACATATTTAAATTCAAGTATCTCCATGTTTTACTCTGGGACTCGGCGAGTTGGAGGCCCAACTCGTCGAGTAGACTCAACTTCAGATCGGAGGGTTAAGTGACCTACTCGACAAGTCGGGAGACCGACTCGGCGAGTAGGAATGTCTGGATGAAACCCTAATATTTGGGTTTGCACCCTATTTAAACAACTTATAACACCACAAACCAACCTCCATTGTCCCTCCCAACCTAGAGAAAACCCTTAACTTAAAACCCTAGCCATTATAGTGTGTTCTTGAGCTTGTTGCTACCTTTTTGCATGTTTTTGAAGTTGGAAAGGAGGAAGGAAGCTTGGGAGTTCAAGTAAAAGCAAGAAGATCCAGAGGTTTTGCTCCATTCTCAGCTCATTCAAGGTAAAAATTTGGAACCTTGACCATCTATCTCTTAGATTTTGATTTTGGGGCTATTTCTACCCTTTTTATGAGTTTAGAGAAGCTAAAATCAGATTTTGTGGGTGTGCTTGGAGTTGTAATTCAGATTTGGAATTATTGGGGGTCCTTATGGCATAAAGGTGCCAACTTTGTTGCCATAAGCACCCCATGCATATTGTAGACTTCTTTTATGGTCTTTTGAGTCAAAAACCCCATGTATAGATGTCAAGATTGGGAATTTATGTATGAAATGGACCTTAGGAGGTCAGATCTATAGTTTTGATGCATTTAGACCCATTATAATTGACTTGATAGTTCTAATCATAGAGGTATTCGACGACTTTATTGGATGACTCAGCGAGTCTGGTCTCTTTTCCCCCCAATGTCTTCTGGAAGTGGTTTTGGTTGAGTGGAGGGGACACTCAGTGTGTTAGGAGGTTTGTTTTGGACTTGAAAATCAAAGGACTCGACGAGTTCAAGAACGAACTCGGCGAGTTCAAGACAATGTCCCAACTACATGAAGATGGACTCGACGAGTTCAAGGAGAACTCAACGAGTTATAGACTGAACACCCTCATGTGGATGAAGATGAACTCGATGAGTTCAAGGATGAACTCGGTGAGTCGGTTAAAGATAGTTTGATGTGTTGTTGAAGGCGAACTCATCGAGCTCTTGCTAGACTTGACGAGTAGGGACGAGATTATGGCATTTTGTGGATATGGGGACTCGGCAAGTTAGTGGACCCACTCGGCGAGTCGAGTCAACCTGATGTTGACTTTGACCAGATGATTGACCATTGACCAAGGTGTTGACCTTGAC